CCAAGACCGTAAACATCCCGAAACCCTAAACACCCTAAATTCCCTTAAAGAATGCCCTACAACCCACAACCCGAGAGGATGTAGGATGACCTCCCTTTGTGCAAACCCTAAATATCCTTACTGCAATACCCTGAGTACCCCAAAGCCCCAAACTCTTAAAGCCATAAACCCTTTCAGGCCCTTTAAGCAGGAGCCCGCTCCTCGACACGACCCCCTGCAAGCCTAAACAAAAACCTAAACCCACAAGTAACTGAACCTCAACCCGGACTTCGAGCTCCGAAGTTCTCGTCGCTCTGCTCGGGTTGCTTGTCCATTTTTGTCCATATCAACTCAAGTTGTTTGGATCATCGCTCCGCGAATTGGAGCGGAGCAAGTGCGACTTGCTCACAGCGGCGTTCAGAAAAAACAGAGTGCGCGCTGCTTCTCCCTGAACCTCTCAGTCTGAACTCCAGAGCGTCGGGTTTAAGCGTTTAGGTTGAGAGGATACCTTTAAACATTATTGGCATCACATACGCTAGCCCAAATACCCATTCAAATTGAACGCGCCCTAAAGTTTAACGCCTAAAGCCAAGAACTATGTATTGCAGGGTTCAGCAATTAGGGGTTCTTTGGGTTTTGAGTGTCGGGTTTAGGGGTTTAGGGGTTTCGGGTTATAGGCCAACCTCAGTGAACAGCAAAGGCACACGCTGTGCACGAAGTCGGAACATGGGCGAACCCCTGAATCGTGTTCCAACCCCTTGACATACTGACAAATAAAACTTGTTGCATGGGGGGGAGGGGCTGGGACGTGCTTGCATGTGAATAGGTGTATGGAACCCTCCATGACCATGACTCACAGCCCCAATCCCTGAAAAGGCGGAAGTGGCGCTTCCCCTAAACCCTAAACCCTAAACCCTAAACTCCTAAACTCCTAAACTCCTAAACCCCTAAACCCTAAACCCTACAAGCCCTTATCTTCAAAAAGCGGCTGATCAAGCGAGGTGGAGTTGAGACACTCAGCCCCCAAGGCCTTAAGCCCTAAAAGGAAGAGGTTGCCCTAAAGCCCTAAAGCCCTAAAGGCCTAACTCAGGGGCCTGGAAGGTCTAACCCTAAACCCTACACCTTAGAAACCCTTTTAAACCCTAAACCCTAAACCCCAAACCAGCCCCAGGCTCCGGTCCCACGACGAAAGGGGGGCTGCGAACTTCCGCAGCCGTGCCCCTGCAGGCGGCTGGAGTGTTCGCGCTGTGGGGCGCGCGTTTGCAGCCGTGCCACGCAGGGGCACGCCTGCGGCACCGCCAGCAGGGCGACAGCGATTCGTCCTCCTTCATCGACTCTCCGGACAAGGCGTTGCTGTTTGCAAACGCCTCACAGCCCCCAGCAGCGCGGACATTCAAGAAGCGGGGGCCCGAGTGAGATGCAGCCGCGCCACTCGCTGGAAAACAAAAAGCGGGGAGCAGAGGAGTATACCGCCATACATGTTTGTTACCCGTCACTAACCCCAAGGATTTCGGATTTTTCTTTCGGGTTTCTCCTGGTCCTAGCCCTGGCCATTAACCAGCTCATGCATGCTCTTCATGGTAACCATGACCCAGAGGTTGACCACTCCTTAGGCTAGAGGCTAGAGGCTTTATTCAGGATAGAGTCTGTTTTTCAAGAGGCTTTTTATTGAAACAACGCGCTTCGGCGCAGGCTACACCGCAGTTTCCACCCCTACTAAGTACCCTGGAGTCCCGACCCTCGAAGAGGACTGGACGTAGGAGACAATTTAGGGGCAATCAAGGAATTAGACATGTGTCTACTGTTAACACCCGGTCAAACCTCACGCAAGCTGGGTTTGGTTCTAGAATGAGGAATTGACAGTCGAATGTTGAACCGCCAGCACCACCTCAACGAGGCACGCCGGGTGCTGCGCAAGCAGCAAGCGACGGGTGCAAGCCTCTAGATACCCCGCCCAAAGTCCTTTTAGGCCGAGGCGCTGGAGCTTGTAAAGAAAGACGCAGATATTACCGGCTTTGGAAAAAGCTCTATAGGACTTCTATATTATCAAGGGGAGTGGGCAACACCCTTGATAAGCGGGGCATCTCCTTTGAGAGCAGACAGTAGGTACTCCAGAACTCACGCTAAGGCCTTTAGACAGCTATTCCGACAGCTATTCCTTAAGCAGGTTCATCTCCCCGTACGAAAGGGTAAAGGGTCAAAACACAGACCGCGCCGCCTCTACAATATGGGGAGGAACTTAGAATGGCCACACACACACGCAAAATGTGCAGGCAATGAATCGTATCCACAAGCATCAGGAGGTATTGGACCTGTTCCCTTTCAAGTTGGATGTACTTTTTCTCACAGAAACACATTCCACTTCATTTATCGCATCCAACACATGTTCGTGGTGAATGGCAGCAGCCGAGATAAATGGGCAGGAGTTCCTGCAGTGCTATCTCCTCGAGTGGTGCCTTATCGCAAAAATGTCATTCAACACACATCTAGAATCCTCCAACTTACAATCGCAGTCGCTTCC